ACCTCCCGCTAGAACACGAAATGTCGTGATCTATTCCCGCGAACAGTTTTTTATTTCGAGAAAAGTTGCGTATGTCGCGACAGCTCCCTTCCTATTCATGATAAAAGCTTCGGATGGCTCTCCTTGGGTTTCTAAGTCACATTTTGGTGTTCTTCTTTGGGCTTTCTTAAGATAGAGGAAGAGTTCTTCTGGCTTCCTTGGGACAAAGGAAAAGAAGTCCAAGAAGTAGTTCCTTGCGGTGAAGGAAGAAGAAAGAAGAAGAGACAAGAAGAAGAAGATTGTTCTCCCTTGGCTTCTTCTTGGAGGCTTGTGGTTGAAGAGAAATCAAATTTATTTCTCTTGTAAGTTTATCTTCTTCGGTTTATCTCAGTGTAGAGTTTCTTCGGTGTATCTCGGTGTAGTGAGAGAGAAGAAAAGAGAGACAAGAAGAGAAAGCAACGAAGTGAGAGATTCCTCGGGTAAGTCCAGTGATCGACTTGTGTAAATTCCTCAAGTAGTAAAATCCTCTATAACTTCGTGGACGTAGGTAATTTGTTGAACCACATTAATCTATGTGTTCCGCTGTGTTACTATTTTCTGGTGTGAACTTTTTTCGTTCTATTTTTTCGCTTTATCGATCTTTCTCCTGTTTTGTTTGATTTATATATATACAACCTCAACTGGTGTATATCTTATATCCCAACAACAACTAGTATCAGAGCTTTGTTCGGTTATGATAAAGAATGATCACTGCAAATGAAGTGAAGATTTCAGGGATTGAGAAATTTGATGGCACAGATTTTGGTTAATGGAGAATGCAGATAGAAGACTACCTCTATGGGAAGAAACTTCATCTTCCAATAGTGGGGAAAAGAACTGAGAGGATGGATGAGACTGAATGGAATTTGTTGGATCGACAAGTTCTGGGGGTTATTCGATTGACCCTATCAAGGTAGTTGCACACAACGTCGTTAAGGAGAAGATGACTGTAGATCTCATGAGAGCCTTATCAGGTATGTATGAAAAGCCATCGATGAATAACAAGCTGTACTTGATAAAGAAGTTATTCAACTTGAAGATAGAATGTGTTTCTGTTGCTCAACACCTAAATGATTGCAATACTATCACAAATTAATTGTCATCTGTTGAAATTGATTTTGATTATGAGATACATGCGCTGGTATTGTTGGCATCTTTGGCATCGTTGCCAATTTGTTGGGAAGCCATGAGGATGGCAGTTAAAAGTTCTGCAGGTAAATCTAAACTAAAATGTGATGATATTCGTGATTTGATTTTGACTGAGGAGGTGCACAGAAAAGATTCTGGCGAGATCTCGAGTATGAGTTCGGCACTAAATGTTGATTTCAGAGGGAGATCACATGATAAGAACTCAAATAAAGGGAAATCAAAATCAGTCTGGTTAGCAGGCAACCTGCTAGAATTGTGGTAAGGATGGCCACATAAGGAGGAGTTGCAGGAACCCCAAGAAGATGGACAATGATAGTGCAAATGTGGTATCTGAAGAAGTACAAGATACACTATTGTTGGCAGTTCATAGTTCTGTTGATGATGGAAGTGAAAAGGATAGTGGGTCCGGGGCACCCATTCCTATTGTTCCATAGACAGATAGTGGAGAACCATAGAGCTATAAAGAAATCTTGCGAGATGAGAGTTTAAGAAAGTGAGAGTTGACAGAACTTCCACCATGAAAAAATGTATTACACAACAAGTGGGTGTACCAGGTGAAGACTGAGCATGATGGCAGTAAGAAGTACAAGGCAGACTTGTTGAAAAAGGCTTTCAGCAAATGCAGGATATTGCCCATGCAGTGGGAGTTGCAAGGAGAGACAAGAGTAATTCAAAATATAGCTTTGAGGTGCAAGACTATGTGGACCCTGCTGATATGTTGACTGAGGGTGTTACTCTTGAGAAACTGAAGTTATGCACAGCTTCAGTTGGTGTTCTGGACTGAAGATAGAGGCTTTAAGTTGCAAAGGTGGAGGATTCATGGAGGATTCATGGTGGAGGATTCATGTTTTAAGAAAAAAAGTGACACCGTTAGTGGAGGATATCGGTTTAAGGAAGAAGATGTTGTAGCTTGTGTATCGGTCCCCAAGTGAGAGATTGTTAAGCTGGAGTCCGATTTTACCGCTCCTGCTCCCCTCACGCACCCA